ATGACGGCCAACTTCAAGTCATGAGTTGAATAATTCTGTTAGTAGGGTTTTAATTGCCTAAAAGCATAAGCAATTAACCTATTATTCTGCATTAATACACAACCCAACCGCTTCTTAAAAGCATCATTATAAATGGTAAAACTATCAATATTAGAATATAAGGTAAGGACAAGTACTGATACTAATCGTTGCTTTAACTTTTAAAAACTCTGTTCACATTCTTAAAATTTTGATGCATAAATAAAAACTCGAGGCTACCTGACTTTTTTGTTTTTAGATTACTATTTAAATATAATACTTTTGGCCACCAGTATTTACATATTTATATATCTATTTATCGTTATTACACATTTTGTTACCTTGTAAAACATAGGACAGTATTATTCATTTTTATTGATTTTTTATATTTATTTTTTCAAACTATTTATTTCTTTTGATAAAAAAAATTGTAGTTGTAAATAACACTAGAAAAATATTCATTCATTGCTGCGGATCAAAACTTTTTATTTTTTATTTAAGTAAAAAAATAAATGAGTAAAAGGTGAATAACTTAATTAATTTTTTAAAAGATAATAACAATTATTCCTGCCATTATTCCTCCAATGTAAAGGATAGTAACAATTACATATGCTTTCTAAAGAATACAATAGCCAATCATTACTCTCAATGCATAGTCAATGTTTTCCTGGATGTCACAATACCTGAAGACTATGTCTGATGATCATTTTTACACATGGCTAAATCTTGGATGTGTAAAAAATTGGGGTCTTTAATTGCCCTTAACATTCATGAAGTGGGTTATGGTTCTCAAGGGTCAAATTATGCATAAAACAGATGAAGGGTTCTCTCTGATCAAATTGCCGGTGTCTGATATCGAATCACCAAGCTGATATACGTCATCAAATTGGCAAGGTCGAAGACTGATTGCATTGCATGAAAAGAAAGAAGAAAGAGGAAACTAAGGACAGAAGTTGAAAACGAAGGGAGGTAGCAGCCATAATTCTAAGAGATCACCGAACAATAAGCTGCAAGAAAATTGAACTTTAGCTATGGCTATGGCTATGGCTATGACTATGAAAGAAGCAGGGACCTCCATTCCACTTTGGATTAGAATTAATTATATATTAAATAATTAAGGGAACTCTTACGTACTATTACATTAAATTTAATTGTAAATTGAACAAATTAAGACCTGATTTTATCAAAAAATAAAGTAGAATAACGATGAAACATGTATAGTTAAAGAATACTAATGAGCAAGTTAATCTAAATGGCCAGATTTTGCATAAAAATGCTTTTGAGGAGAGAGATTTATAAAGAAAATTTTAGGACTGAATCTAATTAATGATTTTTTTTTATTTATTTCATCTAAATTATAAAATAAATTATCAATAGCCAATAGATTGTTGCCACTTTATAATTTTGATTTCATGATATTTATATATAACTTTGGGACTGAAGTTGTTAAATTAATTGTAAATTGCAATGAGAATCATGGATAAAGATCTATGGCAGATTTAAATTCTCTCCTCATGTAGTAGTAGCAGCACTTATTCCTGTAGATTGGCAACTTTCATTGAATGTTAGACAAAAAGTAATGGGGAAAAGCTCATCCCATGCCAGAGCGTAGCATTTGATTCACACGCCAGAGAGCTAACATAACCGCTGAGCTAATTGCATTGGCACAGAATCCAAGACCCCTGGTTCATACAAGCAGTGCATCATGCAACAGGTAAGGGGAGGGGGGAGCTGACTCAAATTATGCATATATTTTGTCTCAGCTCCATTGCCATACATACATATATTTATGTGTGTGTGGTTTGTGTGTGTGTGTATATATATATATATGTAATGTATGTATGTATAACTGGATGGATTTCACCCAAAACAAATTCTCATATTCCTGTTGAGCTTCATTTGGATGATTAAAATGTCAAATGCATAAAATGTTACAGCATTTCAACGTATGCCTGGTTTGAACAGAGCTATGCTCCAAGGAAATTCCAGTTTGTTTTCTCTAACGACAATAGATTGTGATAAGGACACTGGACTACTGAAGTTTAATGCTATAATAAGTAAAACAATATTTGTGATGCAATTGAAGGAAATATATTTGTGATGTAATTGAAAGGATGTAATTCCAAGTGCCGAAACAGAACTGGACACGAGGAGGGAAACAGAAAGACAGAGACATGAAGTCTAGGGAGATTTCCATGCAAGACATGAATTACAAATAAACATATTCAGAACATAGAATAAGTTTATGCTTAACCTCCTGGTAAGCCTAACTACAAGATAATACGTAAATCTTAGTGTAACTTCAAGATCCTGAAGCTGGGACATGCAACAGCACTGAAACCTGGAAGCACCAAAAATTTAGCATGTTATAAAAGAAAATAAGTGGAACTTTCGGCAAATTATAACATGATCTAGACAGGCTAGACAAGGGTGGGAAAAGATTGCAATGACTCAGCTAGGTTCAAATACAAAATACGAGAAAAGCACACACAATGCCCCCAAAACAGTTTTAGCATTGAAAATGAATGTATCTGACATATAATTTCAGCTGAATTGAAGAATTGTGTTCAACCGTTAGTTGTTCAAAGGCTAGCAATGAGCAGATATCTAAAGTTCGAAACCCAAGATATCAATCTGACTAGAACAGGACAGATAGATTTAATATTCAGTGCATGCTGTGTGGTTTTGTTTAATCAAAATGGAAAAGCCAAATGGTTTGAATGATCATGAATATTGCTGTTGACTGAACCCAATATACCCCAGTTAATAATACTCACCTATTTGAAAAATTAGCTTCAAAACCTCTCAAGTTGCTTCAATCATAAGCACAATAGAGCCCTGACAATCCCATGTACTCAGTTTAGGCCTTTTTTTTTCACAAGTAAACATGACATAGTACAAGTTCAAAGAAAGCCTATTTCCCTTTAGGGCTCATAAACAGGATTAGGAGTAAGTTGAATATGCTGAAATCTAAGAGCAGGTGGAATTCAGGGATTTATCTTGCCAGAATTCTGGCAGCAACATGAATCCACTTTCAGGTTCTAATGGTGTAACAGTATAAACAGATACAGAACCAAGAGGTTTGTACATGATAAGACTGATGGAAGCTTAAAGTTGATGGAAAAAAAAAACAGCAAGAAAGAACACATGATGTTTATCAAAGAACTCATCAAATAACTAAATTATCATAGAACAGATTCCAATGATCTATGAAGATAATAAATTTTTATAGGTCCATCAAAATCTGCTAATTGCTCTAGGTTTGACTACTAAATAGGAAACTTCTGAAATTTGAAGCTTGACCATCAAAACTTTCTAAAACCACACAATGAAGACCATAAGACACCTAAGCAACTAAGTGAAAGAAAATAAAACCCTGGACCAGAAATTCAGCCAATTCCTGCAAATTTGCATCTTACCACAAACCCAACAGCCATACATCACTTATTTTGCCTTTTTGGCAACACCAAGATGACATACCTTAAATAGCAATTTGATTTAGATTCCTCCTCTACAAGACCATTCTTGTCATCTGATCCCTGATTTTCCCCTCACAGTTGCATGCACTCATCAGTCCGAACCGCTGGGTGAATGTCGACTCCTCAAGTGGAGTTGAGGACCCATGAGCAAAGGCAAGGAGACCTGTATATGCTATCATTGCTCCATTGTCAATGCAGTACCTGTCATCAGTTGCAAACAATCTTCCACCTCGTTCAGAACACATTGTCCTCATCATCTCTTGCAAGCGCTCATTGCAACCCCACACCCACAACTATGAGAACATCTTTCGAGTCACAATGAGCCATCGCTCGTTCTGTTATCTCCACAAGCAATTGCAAATAGAGTTTCCTACAATGTATTACATACAAGTAGAAAATAATCAGAACAAAACAGTAGCAGACAATATATTATTGCTAATAAATTAGGATGCTGAATAATATCCTTTGCCTCTAAACCTTGTCAGTTATACTGTCAAGTAAAGAATGCAAAACGATCCTGTAAGTAATTCACCTGAAAGGGAGTAGCACAAATCGGCAGGGGTGCACTCATTATTTTTGAGTTTCTCCTCGCAGTAGCTTCAATGTAGCTCAATATTCCACTAAAGGAAACATCCATCCCTTTGACCACATATGGAAGATCTATAAATTTTTCTCCTTTCTTTGCTAGCTGGAAAGGGAGAAAGTCATATCAGGCAGGTTGAACAGAAATACATTCTGAACAAGAATTAGTACATGAAGCTGTGGGAGAAAACTTTGTCCTAAAAAAGAAATAATAGACAAATCTAGTAACATGGAAGCGCTGCTAAAAGCATCTAATTTGACTCTTGAAGTGCAGAAGATTTGGGGAAATGGACAGATATAAAGGGACAGTGCAAAAAGAAACCAGAATATGTTGACTAAATGATTAAATTGAACTTCAGCAAGATGTACAAATTTGAAATGGTTGAAATCAGATTGCATAAAATTGACTTATATATCATCTAGAAATTTAGAAAAGTAAAACCATTGAAGAGAATGAACAAAGGAATAAGTGGGAATCAAGGATAATAGAGTTAAGATCTTATAGGTTGTTGTCTTGACTAAAATGGGAAAGAAATAACAAAGTGAAGAAAGCAAGAACTATTAGTCAGAAAATATCTAGTTCTCTGAATTATTCATAGGAGCAAAAGAACTAGCATGCTTTATAGGTCTAGAAGTTCTCAATTTGTTGTGAAAAAGCCAACATTTGGCTCCTTTCCTGAAACTTAAAGTTTCTATTTGATAAATATATATCTTAAATCAGTTGAAAGTTACAAGACTTGACCATCAAAAATGATTCAACAGTGGCAAAACATCCAATGCTTGAGCATCTAAAGCATAAAAGTAAATTGAAACAGGTTCAATATTAGCAGTACAAAAGAACTCTTATATCCAGGAGTCTAGAATATAATATGTTTTTGAACTTGAAAAACACAACATAACATCTTTACATACCTGTTCAATGTTATATCCTGGGCTTGGATCGTTTGAGATGGTTAAAACTCTAGCAAACCGATCCAAGCAATTCCCAACAGCAATATCAATAGTCTCTCCAAAGATTCTGTATCGTCCTTCGCTATATGCTATAACCTGAGTATTCCCACCACTAACATACAACACAACAGGATCATCTGCCCCAGTAACAATCCTTCCCATCTCAATATGTGCAACACAGTGGTTAACTGCAACAATTGGCTTCTTCCATAGAAGTGAAAGAACCCTAACAACAATGGCAGATACTTGTAAAGGTGCACCCATACCAGGACCCTTGGTGTAACAAAGACAGTCGATTTCATCAGGGGTTATCTGGGCTGTTTTTAAAGCTGATTTGATCAACGGGATGACATGCTGGAGATGGTGTTGAGCAGTTTCCCGTGGCAGGAATCCTTGGCCAGGTGGGGTTATGTAGGTGTGGCGTGGGTTTGACAAAATTGTGCCATCTAATGTCACAACACCAACACCAATCTTGTTGGCTGATCCTTCAAAACCAAGGGCTATCATTCTCTTCTCCATTTTCACAGAAATGTTATGTGTCAAGTACCGACCTTGTGAAACCAAACGAAACAAAAAATCTTTCTTAGCAAATATTCACCACATAGAATATACAAAAGACACTCATCTACATGTATTTTAGGATATCAAAATTCATAAACAGCATCTACCCACATTCAAATAGCAAGTTATTTGACAAGGCTTAAAACCAAATTATTTATTTTTTGAAGAAGAAAAAAAGCTCTTCATCCATTGGAGTCTGTAATTTTACAGAAGACCCCATCTTAAATTTCTAGTCTTGTGTTATGTATTCCATCCCTCTAACCACTACCCATCAAAGCAAGTTATTCAGGCAGGTTTAATTGTTCATACTTTTGAAAAAAAAAAAAAAAAAACGCTTCACCGTTTGGAGTCTGAAATTTTACACAAAACCACTCCATAAATTTCTAAGCTTTTGTTACATATTCCATCCTCTAGACCAAAACCCATCAAAGCAAGTTATTCAGGAAGGTTTAAATTGTTCATATTTTTGAAAAAAAAAATCTCTTCACCCTAATTTTACACAAAACCCCAACTTAAATTTCTAATCTTTTGTTACATATTCCATCACTCTTGCCCAAAACCCATCAAATCAAGTTATTCAGGAAGGTTTAAATTGTTCATTTTTTTTTCTTTTTTGAAAAAGTATTCACCCAATTCTGAGTTTTCAAAAGAACCCAAAAAGAAAAGATTATTTCATACAAAATACGAAAGAGTAAAATGAAACTGAACTTACCAAAGATAAGTACAGATTGATGGGAGACTCAAAAATGGTGTTTGAATAGCTATGGAGGCAACGACTACTGACAGTGGATACAGAGAGAAACAGAGTAGGGCTTTCGCTTTCTTTTTGTTTTTTTTTTTTTTTTACAGTTTGACTGTTTGAGCGTTCTGACTAATAAGGATCTTCAATGGCCCATGTTAATCCAACACGTCAGCAAAAGAAAATCCATAACTTAAACCGTTTAACTAACTTTTTTTTTTTTATAGTGATGGCTTTTCAAAAAATATTAGTGATAGAGAGCATGGCATCGAAAAGATTTTCATTGCCGTTATTAACTAGATCCATTGAAGGAGCTGCAAAAGCAGTTTCACTACAGTGAAGAACATAAACTAAAAGAAAACCCAGGCAGTGCATTAAAAAAAGTGAAGAAAACATTTCTCCCGATGGAATTAATTGGAAGATTGACATGCACGTGTCACGATCTTCGATTTTAAGTCTTACAATCGTGCGGTCTTAGAACCAAAGATGAATCGGATCTTAGAGATAGTTAAACACTATAACACACTAAGAAAGCAAAGGTGAAATAATACAAAATCCTTTCTATTGTTGGAATAACGTGGCTTATGTACAATGGTGGTTTGAGTAGCTTTTTTGGCTTTAAGCTCACTAGCTTTTATATCTTGGTCCTATGGGGAGGGACACCCCTATTTATACTCAAGTCACATGCCCTATATGGTTACTAAGTAGCCAAATGCGTGACTCTTATATATATTTTTGAGGATTTCAATGCTATAGACATGTATAAGGTCAGTTGGAGAATCTTTGAAAAAGAGTTGAATTCAAGCACTCTGTGGTGCATTGGGTCCAAAAAATTTCAGACTCTCTTGCAAAATGCCCCCGTTAAGGGTCTTTCAAAAGCTTCCCTATCTAGACGTTACAGTACTTCTGCTCATTTGTGCAACCGGCACTTTCAAAAAGTTCTATGCTCACACCACTAACCTAAATCCTAAGTTTATCTAGAACCTTCATATGTGCAATACCCGCACCACGGCCTTCTAGAAGCTTCTCTCGAAAGATCCTTGAAGTTCAGTATCAGGCAACTCTCGCATAGGCTTGTTCTCGTGGCCTAGTGCTTGAGCGAGGGTCCGACCTCCTAATGTTGGTACTCAAGCCTTGACCTTGATGGTGCTCATGCGGGGTGTAACACACGCATAGAAACTTAAATCCAAAAACTATAAATAAAAGTTCTTCCATCAACAAAGCTTAGCGCATGAGCAACCGTGATCGGAGAAAGAAACAAGATGTGATAATTTGTATATTCGTGTATTTTGTATTAAATTTCATCTAAAAATTATGTGTTTCATGTTAACATAAAAAATTAATAATAAAATATAACTTATTTGCTTTTATTAAATTCGTTGATTTTTATTAAAATTTTAACACATTATGTTCATATTTTTTTTATCATTTTTAAAAAGTGTTTTCATATTATGTTTTAAATTACTATGTTTAGGAGAAACTTCATTTCTGCACACTAACGCACAGACATGGACCCTTGAACATATGGCTCTCTGACTCACAAACCCTTGCTGCACCCCCCATTCTGCATCAAACATTTACAACAAATCACCTGATCATCATTACTTTATCTCAATCACATTCAATTCGGAAAGAGATTTCAGCAACATCAAGTTACTTAAGGGAAGCTAAGACAATGAGCAACAAAAGAAAACTGCCAATGATCTCTTCTCCATCTCTATTTGATACCTCAAATCAAACAATTAACCGACTGATTCCTTCATTTCTAAGACCTGTTCTTTCAACCCACATATATTCTGGTAGCAAGTAAATGCATGAATTCAGGATGGTTCACTGACTCAGACTAGCACCATCAAAAAGATTCATTTAAAATGAAATGTGGGAAAAAAAAATAGAAATTAAGGCGATGAAGAAGATGAGCAGTGTCAGATAACCAGAATCAGTGGAAGTGGGCAGAGCATTTTCGTATTGAAATGAAAGTGTTGCAAAGCAAGAACCTGTTTCATGTGTTTTTCTGCACATATAATATGAATGTGGCCGCCCATCTCGTCCATATAAAATCTTTGTCCTCGTATTTGTTTGGTCTCTCTTCAAATAAAAATTATTTGAATGCTATGCAAAGACCTTTTACCCAAAAAAGAAGCACAAAAAACTGACATCCCAATGCCAATTATCTTTACATCCTTCACACAAACTGCACAAGGCTGGCCCCATAAAGACTGTACATTGACAGATCCTAGTCTATCCTACTAGCCATGTGGTTCAAATATGGAAGCATAACTTATACAAGGCATTCCAATGAAATGGTATAAACCCCAGGATTCTTAGGCAACAGACCTAACTAGATTCTCTAACAAAGACCTAGAACAATATCAGGATGTTACTTTTCTAAGCAAACCAAATCATATAAACACTGGCCTATATTCAACATCATAACTCTATACCAGGTTTTTTGTTCCTATATTTCAATAATGTATGAAAAGCTATCTGGGAACTATACACGGCTCTGCTGCTCTTTGTTTTCCATTTCCCGCACACCGTCTACTATGTGCTGGATCTTCTTTGACAGACTCTCATTGTGCTCCTCAATTTGCTCAAAGATCAATTCTAAATGTCTTTTATAGGTTGCAGCTCTCTTTTTCTCAATGGCTAGCTGCTGTGTTAACTCTCGGATTTTATTATGTTCATTCTGCAAAGGACAAGATAGATAAAGCAAGTTTCAGTACAGAGAATGAATGACAATATTGAAACTCACGACTTCACAGTAAGAGCATTTGACATTAACTTGTTGGGCAGATGTTTAATCCAGAGCTGATTTTGTAAAAACAGCACCACATAGTGATACAATAAAGTAGCAGTATTGAACACAAGTTGAAAGCAAACATGGCCATTTGACCAATTAGTACACGAAATTTATGCCTAATGAGGCAATCCCAAATACTTGAGTTAGAAGGCTATGAGTGTAACACCATTATTTCTTCGTACCAAAAAGAGCAAGAATTGATGTTTCAAAATCAAATAAATCTAAGTGTAAATCAATCTACTGAATTACAACATTGGGAAAACATCTGTTTGCATGTAATTCGAGCCACTCCTACCTCCTAACTGGAAGATCATGCTTCTATATAAAGTATTGCAACAATGAGAATAATCAACTTCGACTCATTAACACAAACTGTGAAAGAATATATATCAACAGACTTCAGCAGAAATGAAATTATGATAAAAGGGTTAAAACCGACCGGGTATTGATCATAAATGCAATCCCTCCGACCTTTCCCAGGTGTCAGAGGATGAGTGTGCTCCTTCACAAATTTTGTGACAACCCATTTTCCAGAACTTACTTTCCTCACCAAAATCATTGCCCTGCATCCAACCCTCGTCTCTGCCCTTTGCCTCACAATTTTTTCTCGCTTGTCAGCCATTCTAAAACCCTCTTTGTTACAAACAAGTGCCCTACCTATAGCAGATCCATCACGCCTTGAACGGGAAAGTTTGCTTACACGAATGATGAATCCCACCCTTGTGGCATATGCATTATAAAAAGCATGTGCAGCTGCCTCAGATTCAAACTCCTGACCCACATAAGGCTCATCAGCTGGAACACCCTCTGGGATGTCATCCCTTTCAGGAGAAGTTTGATCCAATTTTTCATTCAGACCATGTTGAAAAGCTCCTTCAACAAGATTTTCTCCTGTTTCATTTTCATTATCCATGCTAATACTAACATCCACTTGAACCGAATTCAGTACCATGCCACCATGCCACCATTAACATTACCATGAACCCTAAACTCCACTGCAAGAACAAGCATTTTTTTAATTATTGCCAGAAGATGAAAAGAAAAGCAAAGAAAGAAACATAATTAAACTTATTCCTTTTGAGGTTGATTCGAGCTTGACACATTCAAATTAACATAGACAAAATTACTGCATGGGGCATTGACATTATACGTTGCTTCTCGTGATATATGCAACAAAACATTATAACTAGTTGGTTATTCAATTTGTTTTTTCTTTTTCCAGTTTCCAAGCAACCAATTAGAGCATAGATTCAATTCCAAGATGAAATTTACAGATAAGAAAGAACAAATAAAATTTACTTAACAAATTGCTCTCGAATGAAACCTACAATGCATATGATTGCCAAGAAAGCTAAGGCAAAAATGGGAAAAAAAAAAATATATATATATATATATATTTCTTGTTTATTGTTTCAAATGGTTAAGTCTAAATTAGAAATTTCTTAAAGAAAATAAATAAATAAAAAGATAAAGCAACAAAAAAAAAGTAGAATAGTGTAAAAGCCTAAATGAATGAAATTTATTTGTTCAGTCCCAGTTGAAGTCAACTCTGGGATTAAGTTTGCTCCTTTTTTTTTTCTCAGCGATTTTCCTTCATTTTGCTAGCAACCAAACAGATTCTAAACAAAAAAATTCCCTTGATATCATCAAATAATTCTACAATCCGAGACCCTAACGCTGTACTTTCTAATTTCATTCTCAAGAAACGGGAGAAAATGAAATAAAATAAAATAAAATTACAGAACAAACAAAACGAAATAAAACCTTATAAAAATTCGAAGTCTAAACTTTCTCGCTTATACGTACATTTTCTCGGCAACCAAACAGAGAATAAATTAACAATTCAAACAAAAAATAAAAAATATGTTCAACAATTGACACTTTGCATGGAACAATTAATCAAAAAATTAATTAAAAAACCGAAATATATATCTTAAAATTGACTAAACGATAAGAATTAAAATTAAATAATAAAAAAAAACTTACTCGAAATTTTAACGTTAATGGAGATGAAATTGCGATCATCGATTGGGCATCGGAAAAGGGCGAGAGTTTGGGGGTGCGAGATCAGCGTTGGGAATAATAAGGACGCAAAAGAACATAACGTGGCAAGAGTGGATTGGGTTCACTGTAGAACAAAGTCAAACTTTTTAGATTGGCTAATGGAATATTGACACGTGTTGGATTAAGTGGACTTGGCCTCGCTTGATCCCCGTATTGTGCTTGTTTGGGGCAGAAGACTCAGTTTCGCTCCAAAATCCGACCCGCTCAATTACATCTCCAAGAAATTATAGATGTTTGCCTCTCTCTCTCTCTCTATT